CCTCTAGCCAAGATCATCGTGATCTCAGATAAAACTATCAAGTGGAGCCAGATCTTCAGCTGCTTTATGGAGCCTTGCCAACTTCCACTGCTTGGGAATGAACTGGAGGGGTTTCTTCCCATGCTGGAGCCTCACAGGAAAGGAGAGGGGTGAACCTGCCAGCAGTGGCTGTGCTGCAGCTCACTGATCTTTGCAGGGTGCAGGTAGAGAGGAGGAGGTGAGAATCCTCTCCAAGACTACAGAGATCTCATGTCCCATAAGTCCCATGTGGTGGTGGAGCCCCTGGTTTTTTGGGAATCTCACTCTGGAGCGTGCCCATAATGTGGCAGTGACCAGCTACTGTGTAAATATTTTTGAAAAGCAGCATTTGTCCCTGTATTAGCAGGCAGAGAAAAGACAAGGTGGTATGGGCAGTCTGAGGTGTGGGGAATGAGTCCTGGCTCTCCCAGGGTCCAGAGTTCTGCTTCTTTTGTATTAGCCCAGATTTTCTTCTGGAATGTGGCATTCAGCAGGTGAATGCCACAAGAGATGCTCTGCCCTGTGTGATCCGAGGGCTGCATTCCTCCCCTGTGGGTTTGCTTCCCTGTGCCTTTGCCTGCTCCTGTGGTGGGGAATCAATTCTTTTTTTAGCTGAAGAACTCCTAAGATTATCAGATGAACAGAACTGTGCAACAGAAAATCTTGAATTTACTAGCTGTTATTTGTATCCTTAGAAGCACAGTGTGCTGTCATCTTGCCTTTATAAAGATCAAAATCCATCCTGACAGTCTGCTTTGCCTACTTTCTCCATGGCTGAAGGCAACTTTGCAGGCCCTTGGAGCTGAAACTGTCACTTTTTATTAATCCTGTGTGTTTCTTGTATTTAAAGTTTCAAATATATCAGTAGAGCTGGTGTAATCTCCATAATAATGACTTTATCATACAAGAGTAACTCTTGAATATCTAGCCTGAAGTTAACTCTTCTCAGACAGCAGTGACATGAGTGACAAGATGGCCAAGATGCTTTTCAGGTGATGTGGTAAGACCTGTGGCACTGCCCAGCCCAGCAGGGTGAGGCTCAGGCTGGAGCCTTGGTTGCTGCAGGGAGATGCATGAGGCAGTGGATGGAGTGGTGTTTTCCCTCTTCTGCTACTTGTATCCCACTCTGGGTTTCATTTGTAGATGTACTGTGTCCATTATCTGCCACAGTGACACTTAATCCATGTGGAAAAGTCAAGGCTTAGCATTTCACTTCATGAAGCTGGTAATACATTGCAAATTAAACAACATTATTTGCTCTCTTTTCTTCTCTCTCAGGTTTGTTTCCATACAGGATGTGCTCGAGAAATGCAAGATGGAAAAAGAAAATCAATAGTCAATGATGCTAAAATATTAATGTTTCTTCAGAATGAGGGCTGGAATAGAGTGAACTCCCAGGAGTTCACTGCAGCACTGCAGAGTTTGCAAGAGCATCGGAGAGCAGAGGTAGGGCCAGCATGGGCAGGGAAAGAAGAGTCTGGTGTGAGCTGACTTTTGTGGACTCTCTGACACCTTGCAGAGTGAAGTGGGGGCTGTGCAGTGCCTGTCCTGCGTGTCAGCGTGGGAATGGCAGCCAGCATTGCCTGCTACCCCATACTCCTGGAAAAGTCCTGGCAGGGTGTTCATCCCCTGCTCCTGCCCTGCAGCTTCTGCTGCCCAGCACTGTCCCGTGTGGCCACGTCCCCCTGTGCCATGCCAGGGCTGTGCTCCTGCACTGGGACTGTCCTCTTGTTTGGGTACTGAGAAACCATCAGGGAGCTGGGAACACGTGCACCACTACTGAAAGGAGAACAGTTACTGTAAGGATTTAGCAGGGATTACACAGAGAAACAGGCCAAGCTTTCCCCATGCTGAGGGTGTCATCCCTCCCTGGTGGTCCAGCCCTCCCAGTTACCCCTTCACAGCAGGTTTGTTGTCATTTCTGTGCCAGAACAGTGCATTGGTGACAGAAAAGAGCAGCCTGTGTCTGTGATCTTTGCAGGCTGCCTGGCAGAGCTGGCTCTGGCCTCGCTGCGCTGCCGTGAGGGGACCTGACACCTCGGTTCCCAGCTCTGTGTTCACACCGTCCTCCTTTTGTTCAGGCTTCCAGAGGAGTTCCTTTTTAGATGGAAGCCTTCAGATGGGATTTATGTGAACGTGAAACCCCATCAGGCATGGGCAGATTTGGGTTTCCCAGCCCATTCCTTGGGTGCTGCTGCCATCTAGGGTGTGAGCCAACAGAGCCTCAGTGCTGGCCACGGGCAGCCACGGCCTTATCACACTGTCCACGGCCTTATCACACTGTCCATGGCTTTATCATACTGTCCATGGCTTTATCATACTGTCCCACAGCCTTATCACACTGTCCCACAGGCTTATCACACTGCCCACAGCCTGCTCTGCAGGGTTTGCTCTGCAGGGCTCATGGCAGCCAGGCCAGGGCTGAGCCACGTTTGGGGTTAAACGTGGCCATGGCACCAAACAGAGAGTGCAGAGGAGCACAGTTCTGGGGTGTCAGTGTGCTCTGGGGACACGGGGTTTGGATTCTGCTGTTGCCATGAGCTCCCAGGTGCTGGTCAGAGCCTCACACCTGGGCTCACGCCAGGTCTCGCCCCTGGCTGGGCAGGTTGGCTTGGCTGTTGTTCAGGGGTCCCTGTGTGAGGGTCAGAGATGGCCGTGGTGTCTCTGAGCTGAAGCCCCTCTGAGCAGACTTGTGTTCCACCTGGGCCCTACTGCCACCTTTGTTTTTGTGTCAAACTGCTCTGCTCTGCTCTGCCAGCACAAGAAGTTTTTACACACACTTAGAGAGAATGTGAGCCAAAGCCAGGCTGGGTCCTGCCCAGCCTGAGGGGCACAGGGAGGGAACAGATGTTCACTCCAAAGCAAAATCATTCCTGAGCTTGAATCTGCACTAATGGCTCTGGCCCTGCATCGAGGACTTCAAAGCAAAAGGAATTTTTTTGAATAGTTCCAGCTCAGGTGTAACTGAAATCCCATTTTACAGACTATTTCCACAGACTGCATGTTTGTGAAGCCCAGGAAACAGGACTCACTTTTCTGCAGCAAACTGGAGCCTGGCTGAGTGTGCTGATGCCACGTGGATTTTCCCTGAGCTTACCTTGGTGAGGTAAAGCTCTGAGCTCAAATTCCTGGTGAAATAAATTTACACACGGTGTGAAACCCCTTCCATCTGTTCTGGAGCCGTGTGAGGGGCTGCCAGAGCTGTTTGCCACCCTTGGTATGGCTGAAGCAGGCACTGAGTAGTGCAGATCAACAGCACTGCTGTGTTATTGTGACCCTCCTGATTGAAGGAATGGCCCTTGAGATGCCTGTGGACTTCAGACACAGCTGCCACAAACAAGCAAGTACATTTCTTAAACTGTTTTTTGTTTTTAACCATTTCTAAAGTAGAACCAAAGCTGTGGATCTGCATCTTATTCTGGCAAATTGTTTCCCCTTGTGCCCCCCTGTGGTACCTCCTTGCTCTGCTTTCACTCAGCAATACCTCACCTTTTCTGGCATTCTTCCCGTTCCTCACATCCTCTCCTTTTTTCATTGTTTTAAATAAGTCTGTGTTTAAATTATCTGTATAGTCCCTAGTGTACAGTTGTGAGACAAAGTCCACAGGAGTTTGGTGTTTTCATCTCAGTGGGAGCTGCACTTTGTTCCAGGTTTCCTATTGATTCTGATGAATTTCAGCAACTTAGAGCACAGATTCTGACCTATTTTTCATGTGCTGTGGCTGTAGAATGAACTATGGATCAGATATTAGAAGATCTATAGTTTGAAATGCTTTGAAATGTTCTTTTGGAAAGTCTTATAAAGTTATTAGTCCATGCAGGTAACTTTCCCTCCTCCATTTCTTACAAATCGATTCTTTACACAGCTGCTGCAACTTTTTGCTCTTTTGATGTAAGTGTAGGATTGATCAAACCTTAGGGGGTGTTCAGGAGTGGAGACATGACTTAAAACATGCAAAATAATACTGGGGTGAACATGTCTGTGGCTTGGAGTGGGGCAGATTTAGAGCTACTTGGTTTTACACCAAGGCTTTGGGAGTCACTAGTTATTTACCATCAATAAATATTAGTTAATGGCAGTGTTTACTTAGCTGACTTGCTGCACTGTTTTGGTTCCTTTTTTTTTTTTATTTTTTCATGTCTTAAAATTATGTGAAGTTGAAAGAAAATATTCTTTCCTTTGAAAGAAAGCAGAAAACTGCACAGAGCACTTCAGTGGATAGTTGTCTGAATTTTCTTTTGGGTAGCCCCTGTTTTTTATCTCTACCTTTGGAAGTACATGGCAGAAATTACTCATTGTTGCCACCCTGAGTTTTTCCCCCACTTTTAAAAGCTTCTTGGACATTTTCTCCCTCTCTGAAACACTCTTTGGAGACCTGTGGGGCTGATGGGAAGGTGATCCAGTTCCTAGAAAAATGTCCAGCTGGCACTTTTTAATGTGCAATGGTTTTAGATTAATCTCAAATGAGTACATTTAAAGCTGTATTGATTTCAGTGTGCTTGGGACTTGACTTTTTTCTTATGTGTTAATATGGATGTAGCTATCAGAGGTAGCTCAGTTTAAGTATTACAGATGGACTGAAATCCATCAATGACTCAGAGTGCAATTAAATGCTTTCTACTTTTGGGTGTTTAGAGATTTCAGAGGCTGCTAGCAATTTGTTATGAAAGCAATTTGGTTATCACAGGTATTATACATGGTATCTTTATTTATAGAGTTATATCATACCCTGAAGTGATGCTTTTGGGCCACAAAACAAGAGAAGTGGGTGCTTCACTGAGGAGGCTTTCTGGATGGGGACTGTGAGGGATGGTGGTGTCCCTGCAGTGGTGGCACTGTACCTCAGCAAGACTGAGTATCAGCAGAGAGAAAAGCAGCTGGCTAGTACAGGCATCAGTGATAACTAGGAATTTCAGGAGAGACCTCTAGTGCCATAAATGGCTTTAAAGTCATTGACTAATTAATGTTTGTGTCCCACAGAAAGGAAACCTTCAGCAGCTCCCCTGAGCAGCCATGGAGAGCTTGGAGCAGAGTTGTGGGGTGGATTTGCCACAGAGGCTGTGCTGGCCCTGCACTGTCTGATGTGGAGCCACAGCAGGAGCCCCAGGTGCAGAGGAGGTGCCCACCTGGGCTGTCGTGGTGTGTGTCACCTCCTGAAGGATGGCTCCATCCTCCCCAGGGCTGACCTGCCTGGTCCCTGCATAGGAGGGGATACTCACACCTGTGAACCAGCTCTGCGAAACCCCAGCTCAGCTGCTGCTGCTTCAAGCCAGAAGACCCCAAACCTGATGGTTTTGATGTAACAAAGATGATTTCACTGATGAAATTGGCCTGAAACTGGCCATTGTTGGCCTGATGGAGGTGCATTTCAATAAAGGTAGGCTCCTGGATGTATGGCTTTCCCTTCAGATTTTATTTCAGGACTGATTTGCTCAGAAGTGTGGGGCATTGCTTCCTGCTTGCATGTCTGTCTGGCATCCACAGGTGCTGAACGTGGAAGTGCCTAAATGGGCTTTTCCTCAAAGTGCTCTAGCAGGGCTCCTATAAACTGGGAGTTTGGAGTAACAGCCACAAGTCATTGCATAGAACCCATTTCAGACTCCAAACAATACAGTTTGTGGCGTGGAAACACCTTTAGTGTCTTCTGAACTTCAGTTTACTTTGCTGCAACATCTCCCTTGTTTTGTAAGAGTCCCAAAACTTGTTCTTGGATAAATCCCTATTTTCCAGCTGGATTTCAGCAAGTTCCAGATATGGTCCTAATTATTGCAGTGGGTTTCATGGAAAGAACAGACAAAACTCAAAATCATCCTTGGGAAAACCCTGGTATACTGATGGGTTTTGTGTGAGCATCCAAACTGTGACAGATTAGTTTTCTTTCATAGATCTAAGCTGCAGAAAAAAGAAGTTAGAGATGTCCAAATGTGCATGTGAGGAGCTGTGGGTTCCCCTGGGTGTGAGCACTGAGGCCCTTGCACAGTGCTGTGAGCTTTGCTCTTTGGCTGGAGCAGAGCTCTGTGGTGTCACCCTGCTAACACCCAGTGGCTGCAGTGTGGCCTTGCTCTTCTGTGACCCCTGTGAGCACCACACCAGGTCTCTGCTCCCAGCAAATAGGTTTATGGAAGGGTAGTGGCAGGAGACCTGGCAGCTGATAGCAGAGCAGCTGTATTTGTCGTTTCTGGCTACCAGAACACAGAGCAGAATGAATTTAAACTACTGTACAGGTTAATACATCTTTTAAGATGAGAGATACTGTATTAATATAGTGCCACCAACATCCCAGGCAATATTTTAGCATGAAATTTTGTCTGATCTTATTAATTTTACTTGGAGAAAAACAATGAGGAAATATAAGAAATAACACGTCAGGTTGCCCATCTATGGTCACAAAGACCCCGCTCTTGCTGGTTGGTGCTGGTGAGAATAACAGACAGTGAGAGGGGCAGGAGAGCCACTTTACAGGGTGAGCTGTTTCTACCAGCTCACCTGAGCCCTGGTTTTCAGCTGGGCAAACTTGTACTGCTCCAGACAGAGCAATTTAGCTTTCAGATGGCCCAGCATCCCCAGGAGAAGAGCCTGACTGCCAGGAGATATTGTCCACCCCTGGCTCCCTGTAGGGCAATTTCCCTTGGTGCTGGTGACAGCAGTGCCACCAAAGCTGTGCCCTGCCCAGCAGGGACTCAAGGAGCTCCTCCTTCCTGCTCAAGGGTGCATGTGAGCTTCCTGAAGCTGAGATGTGATAAACGTGTTCCTGCTCTGCTTAACTTAGGTGGGTTTTGCTCTCCACCAGCTGATCAGGCTTGTCTCTGTCAGGCTGGGTAGGGCTGGGATGGTCTCAGCAGTTTGTGTGTCACCCTCTCCTTCCTGAGCTGTTGGGTGGCCCTGGCCCCTGGGGATATGAGGCTGTGTGAGCCCTGTGAGGGGAGGCAGGAGGAAAGGTCATTGCAGGGTGACAAGGACAGGTCAGGAACTAGGAATTCCTGTTTGAATAATGGGGGGCCTTCACTGCTCAGCTTGCAGTGCCCTTGCCAGAAGCCTTGCTCAGCTGAGCTTGTTTTAAGGAGCCTTGGGTTCTTTTTGTCTTAGCTTTAAGCCATTAAGGGTTGTGTTGTCATGTGCCATTAGGTGACAACTCTCTCAAGGATGGGAGTTGGAGACCTTCATTCACTGTAGTAGCCTGGTGCTGGAATTCCCACATTACAGCATGGCTCCAGGCTGTGGTGATTTAGGAGGAAAATTGTTCCCTCTGTTGGCACATCAATAACAATTCTAAATGCATCTGGGGACAGTGTCCCTAGGAATAATAGAACCCCACTTTCCAATAGTGAAAAGGTTTCCTACTCATTCTTTTAATTCCTTCAGTTGCTTTAGGATGCTTAATAATATCAGACCAGAAAACTTCATCACAGCTGCCCTTCAGAAATCCTTGGGCTGAGAAGAGAGCTGTTTGGAAACACTCTGTAGCAGCACCACTGCTTTTAATACTGTGGTAAAATGAGGATAAATCTGTGCTGTTGTAAGTACATGACAGTGTAAAAAGTCTGGAAAACTGTCCAGGTAGGGTGGGAGGATAAACCCCAATGTCAGTCCCTGATGATTCCCTTTGGCTTCGCTTTCCTCCTCTGTGACTTTGTGAATACATTTGGCAGTGGCTGGAGTTCAAGTTACAGCCACAGAGAGGAAAAGTGGATGTCATTGAAGATGTGCTCTGGAAAGAAAATGCAAACCTGCTGTACATAATGACATGGGATAGTTTGAGGATTATTTCTTCCTAAATGGCCCGATGCAAGCGATAACTCTTCTGGACTGCAGCAAAGAGAACACAGCGTCCACAGGAGTTCTGCAGCATTTCCACATTTCCCTTAACCTTATAAACACAATTTTTAATGGGCTGTTAGCAGGATGTCAGGCTGGAATGTTTCCCCAGCCTCTGAAGGCAGCAGACACGAACAGGGAAGCTGCTGCACACTGAACAGGAGAGGGCACTGGCACTCCAGCAGCTGTGCTGGGCTCAGCACCAGACGCAGCCGAAGCACAGCTTTTACTGCAGCTCAGCACACACACTCTCATCATCTTCTGCTCTTAATGTGAGAAAAGTCTATGAAAAGAGTGAATGAACTGCATTTATTGTCTGCGTCTGTCTGGGGACAAGGAAATACACTTGCACCAGGTGGGAACCTACCCTTTCCTTTGAACTTGCTGGTGTCTGGTGCAGCTCCTGTGAATGTCTTTTTGAAAAACTCTGCTTTAGTGTCCTTTTTCTGCACTGACATTAGGTATTCAGTACACAAACTAAGCTGACATTCATGCTGACCGAGGCAAGCTCAGGTTGTGCATTCTCTCCTGCAGCTGTGGAAGTGCTTCCCTTCACCCCAAGAACCTGTGTGTGCTGCCTCCCCTCCTGCCCCATCTCTCACCCATCAAACACTCTGAAAGGGAAATTCTGAATGGCTGAATTTCCCTCCTGCTTCACAGCATTAACCACAGTATAGTGGGGAGCAATGTGCAACTGGCTCCTAAGCAGTGGGTGAGGAGCCCTGAGTCAGGCTCTGTCCCTCTGGCCACCATCCCACCATCTCCAATGGTGATGCTCATGAAGAGCTCCATGACTTGACTCAAAATGCTGGACACAGACCTCCTTTATTCTTTTTTTTCTTCTCCTCCTTGAATTTCCATCCTTTTTTTTTGTTTTCACCTTTTTGCTTTGCACATGTAAAGGGTCTATCATCCTGGAAAGAACCAAGTTCTGTTTGTTTTCAAATCTAATAAGTCTTAATTAGACCCAAAGTAAAGCTTTCATGGAGCTGTCAGCATAATTACAGGCTGGGAGAGCTTTCCTGCTGAATCTAAATCCAGCCCCCAGCTTCCTGGTCCTGACAGAGTGTGCCAAAGGAAGGGAGAACAAGGCAGGGGTGACAGCAGCCCTTTTACTTCTCTCCCAAGTCCTTTGCAATTTTTTTCTGCTCTGCATGAAGGTTTGTGAAAGGCAAAGCAGAATAGGCCTGACAAGCAATGGAAGGAAATATATTTAGAAACATGAAAAATAGGAAGAGAAAATGTTTTATTTGCATTATTCACCAGGTTCTATTATTTATTACATTGCTGTGCTAGTGCCTGGTTTTATAACTCCCAAAGAAATGATCATGCTTCCGAGGGCAGCTTTGTGCTGCTGTCTCTTAAATATGGACTTAAATATGGACTCTTGATACGAGGCATTCTTTGGCTGCTGTTGCTGTGAGGGTGGGGAGTGCACAGGGTGCCCAGAGCAGCTGTGGCAGCCCCTGGATCCCTGGCAGTGTCCCAGGCCAGGCTGGAAGGGGCTTGGTGCAACCTGTGATGCTGGAAGATGTCCCTGTCCGTAGCAGGGGGGTTGAAACAAGATGATCTTTAAGGTTCCCTCTAACCCAAACCCTTTCACGGGTCTGTTTCAGTGCTGCTTACTTTAAATGGTGAATTTGTCAGGTTGGGTTTTGACAGGAGAAAGGTGAACACATTTATTTTACTTGCTTTGTCCCCAGCTCAGCCTTCTGCTGAATTTTATCTTGTGAGCTTGGACAAGGGCAGGCAGCAAGGTGCAGTGGAGTGATTTCCATGCTGGATTTAACACAGGTGATGGGGCAGCAGCACCTGCTTTCCTGCCCAAGTGGGTCAGTGGGAACTTCATCCTCCTTGATGACCTGCACAAGCACTGGCTTTTCCCCAGGCTCATCTAAACCAGAAGGATGTCCTGGGCAGCAAAGGCACATTTCAGTCTTGCACGAGCACATTTAGGAGGTCTCTGCATTTCAGCATTTTTTGTGAAGGGCTGTGGAGCTGCTGGTGTTCTGTGGGGTGGTTGGGATTGGCAGTGATTGTGCACAGCTGGGTATGAGGGAAATGTATGAGCTTAGGAGAGACTTTGCTGCACTTTTCATACTATTACAGAAATGAGAATGCTCTTTTCTTGAGACAGGAGAGCAGAAATTTGGTGTTGATGTGGTTTGGTTTCTTACTGCAGGTTTGTGGGAGCACTGTCCTGTGGAGCAGGCCCTGCAGCAGCTGCTGCCCACCACATCTCTGTGGTCATCTCAGATCCATATTTTTCCACTTATGATATAGGCAAGATTTCTATCCTGCTAAAAATCCACAGCTCATGGAGTCTATGCCTTCCAATGCCTTTCCATAGGCAAATATTTGCACATACATAAAAAATGCATGAATTTACATGCAATGCCCCATTCAGGTCCACGTGTCCTTTAATGAGGCTCTGTCTGGAAGCCCAGCATTAAAATCTGTCTGATTCAGTGGTCATCTGAACCTTAAATAGCCTGGAAAAAATAAGGAGCTAAAATATTTCTCTATGAGAGTGCATAAATATTCAAATGCTAAACTAAAAGGGCTCTCATCTCATCCCACAAGCCATTTGAGACCATTGCTCATTCAGCCACCAGAGGATTTTAATATTTTTAAAAAATTGCCACAAAACATCTGCAGTGTGCAAAGAGCTGTTCTGCAAAGCATCTTGTAGGCACTCTGTGATGCACCCCTGAAGGATTTATGACCTCCAGCTGGCTGGCTCGCAGCACATCCTCCTTCCTCCGTCTAGATGGCACTCTGCAGTCTGCTAAAGCCTTGTGCAAATCAGCAGTCACAGCCTGGAACTTTAGTTGCAAGTTTGTCAAACTCTGATTCCGTGAATGGGCAGGAAGGGAAAGGAAAGGAAAGGGAGGAGAGAGAGCAGAGAAAAATTACATCCATGGAACCCTTTAGAGTTTATGGGCTCTGGGAACTTAGAACAGTCTTTTCTTCTGGAGCAGGTGCTGGTGCCTTAGTGTTCACCTGATAATATGTGCTGAGTATTTTCCTTAATCACTTCTACCTCTCACCTGCATATTTCTTGTCCTTGAATGTACTTCTGAGTCTTTCTGGTACTGGATATTTAGTCCATCTGAGCTTGTTCACCTTTTCTGTCCCCCCAGGTCACACAGACTGGCTTTCAAAGGCTTCCAAATAAAGCAAAGGGATTAGAAAATAAGGATGCTCATTAGTTATATACTGACATAGTGCTGAGCTGTCTCAAGGTAATATGTTTTTATTTTTAAAGGCAATTTTATGTTCTTCTACAGGTTTATTTTTCTGGTTCTTCTTGGGCATGAAGAGAAATGTCTGGGGGCACCAAATACAAAGCAGGATCCAATAAAGGCAGCTTGGGGAAGGTGATGAATGAATGTATGGGGATGTGCTGAAATGACTGGGGGAAGTGCAGTGAGGAAGTATGAAGAGAGATGGAGGAGGTGGGAACAGCAACATGCATTTTTAAACTGCACTGAAATGGCAGCATCCCCAATAGAAGCAGAATGCCAATGGTGCCGTTTTTTCCAATGGTCTGAGTTCATGGTATGGATTTCAGAATGTGAGACAGTCAAGTTCCTTAATCTTTGCAGATATCTGGGGATGCCCAGGGTACATATGAAAGACATGTATGCAACTCCCTATATAACTTATTGTATAATTGTGGAGTTTATTGGCTTAAATGGGATGCTCTCCAAGCTGCTGCAGGGACCCTCCTTTCCCCATGCTGGGGCACTTGACCATGGTTTTGTGCCAGTACAAATCCCCAGCACACATTGCTCAGATGTTTTCCAGGAGCAGCTCTCTGCTGGTGGCAGCTCAGGGCAGGGTTTGCCAATCCGTGCCCGTTGTCACCAGGGCTGGTTCTGCCCTGGGAGCCCACGTGTGCAGCCTGGGGTGATGGCAGGAGCACAGCTCACGTGCTCCTGTACCAGCTCCCACTGCTTCCTGCTCATGTCTGGATGATTACCTGCATGCCTGGGAGCACTTCCCAAAGCTCTACCCTTTCATCTCCTCCCCTCTGTGGGCAGCTCTTGTGCAGCTGACTCTTGCCAATGTGAGTGAGTTCATTTTGCCAGACTCAGGTGTGCCTCCTTTGTTGTGTATTGTTCAGCTGATGGTTGTTGCCAGTTTGGGGCTAAGGATCTCTGGGAAATGGTTTTGTAAAGCTGCTGCCCAGTCTTTCAAATCCACGCCCTCAAGGCCTGCTATCTGAAGCAAGGCAGAAGGGGATGATATGTGTGCAAATCAGGAGATTTAAGTAAATTAAGTTACATAATCTAATGGTGTCTATTGACCAAAGATGTGTGAAAAGAAAACCTACCTATCTACTTGCATGTACCCATCCTCTCTCCATCCCTGTCCTTGCCTCCCCTGGCCAGAGTCCCTCCCACAAAGCATTGTGTTTTGTGTGGCACTTTGACCTGCAGCTCCAGCCCTCAGCTGCATCACTCGATGCTCCTCTTAAAATTACCAAGTGCTCTGAAGTTCACAATTGATGGTGTTTTCACATGAACCCACTCTTTCTTCAGAGCTGCTTGACCCTGCTTTGGACAGCTTTAAGTTCTGTTGTGTCTGCTGCTCCCAGGCCTACTTGTCCCACAGGATGAAGGCAGGAGAGCGATGGAAACACTCCTGGTGGGCTGTCACTCATCGTGGTGGCTGGGAGGTGTGACAGGATGGACCACAGGCTTGGTCCCGCAGGATGTGAGTCACTTGAGGGAACTGTGCAGTCCTGACATGGAGCAATCAGGGGTAGTGAGTCAGAGGTGGCCTGAGCATGCCATGGTGGAGCACCAGAAATAACCGCAGGCTCCATGGAGGAGCTGCTGACGTGGGGACAGCCGGATTTTCGGCATTCTGACAGTGTGTAAGGGGGTGGCAGAGCTCCAGATGGGGTTCCCCATGGTATGAGCTGGAGCAGGCTTTGAACCTGTGCTGCTTTTAGAGCTGAAATAGGTTTTTGTGTCTGTCTGCTGGCCCAGCAACACCCTTGCTGCACTGAGGAGCCTCTGACTGCACAGAGAACCTGCCAGGGCCCAGCAGCAAGATTAATGTGTCTGGGAATTTCCTGGTGAGACTTTTTGTGCTATTTACCAGAAGTCCCTTGAAGGCAGAAATTATTGCATTAAAAGATTAAGGCATCATTAATCATATCTTCTTTTGTCTTCCATTTTCTTCTGGCAGGCTGGCTCAGTATTATTGGTAAGGTTTTTGTTTTTTTTTTTTTTTCATTTTTCTTCATTCAGAAGAATAAGTTTCTTCAAGTCTTTTCTGTAACTGTGCCATCCTCAGGTAAGAAGGAACCTTGAGAAAAATTTGGGCAGCTGAGTGGAATTGCTCAGTATTGTGAATATTGACATTT